ATTTGGGGGGTGTGCAAGGCATTTGGGGGGTGTGCAAGGCTGTGCAAGGCCGTGAAAAGGCATCTGGGGGGTGTGCAAGGCCGTGCAAAGGTGTGTGATGGCATCTGGGGGGCGTGTGATGGCATTTGGGGGCAACACAAGCCCTGTGTGAGCCCCGTGCAAGCCAGTTTGAGGCCGTGCAACACCATACAAAGCCGTGCAACACCATCCAAGGGGTACAAGAGCCCACACAGGGACCATTAGGGACCGTGTAAGAGCATGTAGAAGCGACACAAGCCCCGTGTGAGCCCCGTGCAAGCCAGTTTGAGGCCGTGCAACACCATACAAAGCCGTGCAACACCACACAAGGGCCAAAAGAGCCCACACAGGGACCATTAGGAGCCACGTAAGGGTGCATAAAGGTGCCACAAACCCCGTGTAAGCCCCGTGTGAGCCCATGTGAGGCCGTGCAAACCCACGTGAGGTTGTGCAACACCCTACAAATCTGTGCAACACCATAGGAAGCCGTGCAACACCATCCAAGGGGTATAAGAGCCCACACAGGGACCATTAGGAGCCACGTAAGAGCGTGTAGAGGCGACACAAGCCCCGTGTGAGCCTGTGTGAGCCCCGTGCAAACCCATAGAAAGCTGTGCAACACCCTACAAATCCGTGCAACACCACATGAGGTCGTGCAACACCATATAGAGGCTAAAAGAACCCATGCGAGGACCATTAGGAGCCACATAAGAGCGTGTAGAAGCGACACAACCCCCCTGTGAGCCCGTGTAAGCCCCGTGTAAGCCTGTGTGAGCCTGTGTCAGCCCTGTGTGAGGCCGTGCAAACTCACGTGAGGTCGTGCAAATGCACGTGAGGCCGTGCAACACCACACAAAAGCCAAAAGAGCCCAAACAGAGACCATTAGGACCCACGTGTGTAGAAGCGACACAAGCCCCGTTTAAGCCCCGTTTAAGCCCCGTTTAAGCCCCGTGCAAGGCAGTTTGAAGCTGTGCAAAGCCACGTGAGCCCCGTGCAAACCCATGTGAGGCCGTGCAACACCATATAAAGGCTAAAAGGACCCACACAGGGACCATTAGGACCCACGTAAGGGCACGTAGAGGTGCCACGAGCCCCGTGTGAGCCCCATGTGAGCCTGTGTGAGCCCCGTGCAAACCCACGTGAGGCTGTGCAACACCCTACAAATCTGTGCAACACCATAGAAAGGCCAAAAGAGCCCACACGAGGGCCATTAGTGGCTGTGTAAGAGCATGTAGAAGTGACACAAGCCCCGTGTGAGCCCGTGTAAGCCCCATGTGAGCCCCGTGCAAGGCAGTTTGAGGCTGTGCAACACCATACAAAGCCGTGCAACGCCATCCAAGGGCCAAAAGAGCCCATGCAAGGACCACGTAAGGGTGTGTAAAGGTGCCATGAGCCCTGTGGGAGCCCCGTGCGAGCCAGTTTGAGGCCGTGCAACACCCTACAAATCCGTGCAACACCATAGGAAGCCGTGCAACACCATACAAGAGGTACAAGAGCCCACACAAGGACCAGTAGGAGCCACATAAGAGCGTGTAGAAGCGACACAAGCCCCGTGTGAGCCCCATGGGAGCCAGTTTGAGGCCGTGCAACACCCTACAAATCCGTGCAACACCACACAAGGGACAAAAGACCCCACGCAAGGGCCATTAGGGCCTGTGTAAGAGCATGTAGAGGCAACACAAACCCCGTGTGAGCCAGTTTGAGGCCGTGCAAACCCACGTGAGGCCGTGCAACACCACACAAAGCTGTGCAAACCCATGTGAGGCCGTGCAACACCATACAAGTGGTACAAGAGCCCACACAGGGGCCATCAGTGGCCACATAAGGGCACGTAAAGGCACCACAAACCCCGTGTAAGCCCCATATGAGCCTGTACGAGCCTCGTGCAAAGTCGTGCGAGCCCCGCGCGCGCCTGACCTGCTGGCAGAACTCCTTGATGCTGCGCCCCCCCTCGAGGAAGTGCTGGAAGAAGCGCTGGTGGCGCTGGAGGCAGCCCGAGGTGAGGAGCCGCAGGTAAACCACCAGGTAATCCGAGGTGCTGGGCTCGTTGAACGCCGCCAGCAGCTCCGGCAGCGGCACCCGCCGCTCCACGCGCTCGATCAGCTCCATGAACTGCACCCACACGCGTGTGCGGGGGGAGGGACACGCGTGTTAAAGGGAGGGGAGGGGGTATGGTGACCTCACGGGGTCATGTGTGCCCTTAAAGGGTCACAGAGAGGGTCACACGCAGCATTATGGGGGGGACACGCACATCGGGGGGGAGAACATGTCTGTCGGGAGGAGAACACATGCA